ACAGGATGTTATTCTCTCACTAGCTTTCTCTGTTAGGAGAGGGCACCCGGGCTTTCCTCTTGAGCAGGGAGACATCCCACTCTACATTGAAAGAGAGTGGCACCTCTGCGCCGAGTGGTCCAGAGCCATGTCTTAACCAGCCTTGCTTTGAACAGGGGTGCAAGGCTGAGATGGTTTGACTGTTCCTCTCTTTGGCTGTCACCTTGTCGCTGTTGTGCGCTGCAGCTTCCTTCAGGCTTTCCAGCCCTCCTTCCGTGAAGGATTTCCAGGGCAGTAGCCTCCCTGCCCTCTCCTTTGCAGCCTGGTGCAGTGGGGTTGACCAGGACACAATTAAAATGTTCTGCATCTCTTACAAGTCAAGGTCTTCAGGGCATGGATGTTTTGGAAGGCTGAGACCAGGTCTATATAAAACAAAATTTAATGTCCTTTTATCTTTCCCATAGAGGGACTTGTTCTTTTAACTGGCTCAGTATCAATACACCCAGCATGTAGAAAGTGGCCCAATTTCTTTGTCTCCTGACATCCTGAACCCAGAAGCAGATGGACGGTAACCAGCTCTGATTAGTTGGGAGAATCAAGCATTAATTTTTTATATGCCAGGACCAACCTGAGTGATTGAAATCAATTACGGCTGCCCCTCCCCCTTCCATGTTAATGTGGTGGCTTTGAGCAGAGACGGAGGGACCTGTTGAAATGAGAAACCCCTATTTCTTAGTTTGACCCCCTAGATAATTAGGGTTAAATTGATATGCTATCGCACTGGTGACACATTTTATCTGCCTCTGTTTGTACAAGAGGATACAATAGTGGAGGAAGGACCAATTTGTGCCCCGCTCTAGCTAACCAGACCGAGATAAAAGGTGTCACTAGTACGATAACATTCTTGCCTCATGCTCCTTTATTGTTGCTCAATTTGCCTTTTTTTTTTTTTTAATCCTGTTCTTTTTCTTTCAATACCCTTGGTCATATTTTAACTCCATGCCATCGCATAATGACGCCCTGCTAAATGTGTGTGGAGATAGGCAACTCTGGCTGACAGCCTTCCCTGATAACCGAATTCCAGCCCATCCATCACTAGACTGCTCTCCTTAACTTAAGGAAAGTGATAACTAAAGCAAGGCCGTTTATCACCGCCGAGCTGTGCGCTTCTTGCTGCCTTGGAGAGAGACAGCTTCAACAGGAGAAATGCAGCCATGTCACCTCACCTCCCATTTGCATCCCGTTCATCTCCAGGCTCCATTTACCCTGCAGAGTGGAGGAGCAGGGCTGGGTAGAAATCAGATCTTGGGGTGATGAAGCTCCCTGAAAATGGTGCCAAGCTGCCACTGCTGCCCACCATCCAAGGAGGACTTGGACTTCCGTGGCTGGCAGAGGAGAGCACGCTACCTGCTGTCACTTGCTGTTCTGTCCCAAGGGGACCTGTGTTTTGGGAGTGGGCAGAAGCGGTGCACTCGCATCTGCTTCTGGGAGGACAGACTGTACCAGAGCTGCCTTGGAGGCTGGAGAATTGCACAGCCATTTTTAAGTTTCTCTCTATCAAGTGCAGTCATAACCTGAAGACGAGGTGTTTGGCTCTTCTGGGAGCCAGCTTCCTTCCCAAGGAGTGAGAGCTCCAATATTTTGGGAGGCAGTGAGACCTCGTTCAAAAGCTGGAAGGATCATGGGATGTTGAATGCAGTGAGGTGTGCCGTCATTCCATCATTTCTCTTCTCCCTTACCTAAGCGAGGGCCGAATCCTGAGTTCTTTGCTCCAGCAGAGCTGCCCCCATGAGCAAGGCTGACTCCTGCAAGAGCAGGAAGCCATACTGAGCGTAAGAGCATGTTCACCAAACAAGCCGCTCGAGTGAATGGTGGCCCTGATAAATGGAGGTCCTGGTACTGCTGTTCCCTAGGAGAGCCACAGATGTGCTTTGTCCACTCCAACCCAGAGAAGATGCTGGAGAAACTCCTGCCTTGTCCCCAGGCTGAGGAGTGGGTGACCACTGCAAGTGACAAGCTTGGACCTGGGGAAAACATACTGCAGGGGTGTTTTCCTTCCTGTAGCTGCCTGGGGACCTGGTTTCTGTGCAGTGAGAGCCCCTGGTTCCCTGTTCTGAAAGCGCTGCATAACCCAGACTAGAGCAGACCCCGGGACAATCCTTGGCTAAAGGCAGGCACTGGGTGTCTGTATCCCTGCTGACCTGGAGCCCCCAAGCCTGCATCTTCCAGCTTGAGGAGCAGACTGATGCTTTGGTCTGTGCTGCTGACAGCCTCCCAGGTTACACCACGAGCGTAGGTCTTCCAGTGCTTGAAAATCCTGGTGAAGTCTCTCTGGTGCTAATTTGAAATGGGGGGAGCACAAGCACAGAGAGGGCAGAGGAATGTCCTTAGGTCATACGGCTTCACAGGCAGTTTCTGGGGTTGTTACTTGTTTGCAAAAATGGGTCATTTATTTAGTTGACATATTTATTTGGAGCATTTATTTTCTCCAATTAAAGACCCACTGTCCAGCGCCCAGGGCATACTGCCATCAGTCTCAGGGTAGAAGCAAAACCAGGCTGTCCACTTTGCTGGGCCTTTTGGTCCCACAGGGATGGAGACGCTTTAGATGTCATCCGTTGCACTGGGTGGTTAGCTGTCAATTCCTATGGCTAACAAGAAAGATGCTGTACTCACTTCTTCTGGGCCCTATCCAAATGTTAAGCGAAGTGATAATTATTCCTCTAACTGAAGCTGGGCTGAGACCTGTATTGACGAAAACCTCTTGGGTTGGGAGGAGAAACCCAACTTTTAGTAACAAGGGAGGTTAAGCTGATGATGTGTCTGTATTAGACCAGTAATTTGTTTTAAATGGTTCCTTTTCTTGTGATCTTTTTTTAATTTGGGCACCAATAGAAAGCAACTTTCCTGGAGGAAGAGCTTTCTTAGTGGGCTGGCGGGGTCTGTTTAACTACGGGATGTCGTGGACATATGTGTAATGGCTGTAAAATGCATGGACCAGGCTGCTATTTATGTGACGGCTGTGCCATCGCGAAGAGTGACTCCAGGTGGTTATTTCAGCACGATGGTGCTGGCATCAGATGAGCTGTGCCCCGAGATGAGACTGCGCTGTCAGCTCACATTGCTTACCCTGCAAATCGCCGTAACCCTGCTGCTTGCAAGCTCATGCTTTTGACAGGCTTCCTGCTTTCAGGGAGATTCCTCTGGACCTCCTTATTCAAATGTGTTTGTATGACTTAAATTATTGCTCCTAAATGATGACATGTACATCTTTTCAGGATGAGGCATGGTTTTGTCGCAGAGAGTCTGTTCCTTTCTTAGCCTGAGCAGGGCTCACAAAGCCAGTACACAGCTGAGGCTCAGTGTGTGCTGGCACCCTTGGCCACATATTCCCAGGAGATGCACTGGAAATGTTTGCCAGCTTCCTTTCTTCCTATAGAAGTGGAGGCAGCATCAAGACCAAATCACTGTGGTACTGCACTACCCTGAGTCTCACATTATCTGCAGGTGCCTTATCTGTGTCCCTCCTTCATCTCCTTAGTGGGAAACAGCTTTCAGGGCTGAAGAGATCCTGCCCTGTTCACCAGAGGGTTTGGAGCTGGGCTGAGCACTCAGGTACTGCATGAGGTGCTGGTGGTGCACCCCAGCTCAAGGATTGTATCGCTTGTATCCACATCTGACCAGAGTTTGTTCCTGAATTTCAGCCTTGAACCTGAAGTCCAGTCTGGGTTATTCACTCTTTCGCCTATGAAGAGTGGGAGAAGACTTTGCCCTGGACATGGTCTGTGCTGGGATGTTTGAGGAGCTGAT